TTGTTATTGCTACAGCGTCTGACACTATGTTCTGCTCTGCATCTTTAGCGTCCTTGGGTGCTTTGTGGGGAAGAAAGGGATAGAAATAATGTTTTTCAATTAAAAATATAGAATAACAGCTGTAGTGCTCAAATGAAGGGAGAAAATTTTGGAGAAGAGAAACCAACAGCCTTCACCTCCAACTCATGCAATACTTGCCAAAGCATGTTCCCCATAATTTTCTAATAGTGGTAGCTAAGGAGATTCACTCCTACCAAAAGAAAAGTGGATGGGCCTCCTCTGTCACCCCAATAATTTGACCACTATAATTTCAATATGTATTTTTTCCAGTCATGATTTTATTGGATTTTCCAGTTAGCAGATATGGATCATTCCAAAAGACAGAAAATGACCTTCCATTGTTTACAGTTAAAGGCATGCTTCTTAAGTCAACTTTACAGATTTCATGCTGTCACAAAGCTTTATCTGTAAGCCAATTTTACAAGCAGATTTAACAGCACACCTGAAAGACATGAACCTCAAACCACTCACTATGGAACAGCTACACTGACTTCTGTGGAATTTCACATGAGTCTTGAGTTCTTCCAAACCAGATTGTACTACTTGGGCTCTTTTCAAAATTTATATTGTCATGGTTTTATAATGTATAAAACTGTCTTTTTGAGATATCAGCTAGTGATGTTCTTCAGCAGACGGGATTTGAGATTGGGGATAGGGTTACCAAGGCCCTAGGCTAGACAAGGGCTCATATATCCATTCTCTAGCTAAACTTGAGAGATTCTCCCATATTCCTAAGTGAAATACAATCCCACCAAGTGACAGAGACCAGACAGACACCCAAGCTACATCCTGGAACAGCAAAATGGTGTTTCTTCAGTGGAAGGCTGTGTTGATAATAGTTGCTGAATGCCTTGAGCTTTGTGCATGAGAAGAAGAGAATGAAAGCTTCAGCTTTCACTTTAAAAATAAACCACAGTTCTATTTTGCTCCTGAATTTGGGGGACTGTGGTTTGTCTCAACCTCAGCTAGTTAAAGCAAATGGTGGTTTCAAATTTTGGTTGGTTGATTTTTCAACTGAGTGCAGTTATAACAAACAACAGTTCCCAGAGCCAGGATGCAGTGAGGAACTGTTGTTTCTGGAAGAGCTTTCATTTTCCTTTAGCACCTACAGATAGAGGAGCATGTAAACCTGAGACTTGCCATGTCCTAGCCATGATAACTAAGATATGGGCCAGCCTTCATCAACCCAGTGTCCTCTAGATGTGTTTGAACTGCAGGTTCCATCATCCCCAGCCAGCATGGTCATTCCTGGAGGTGATGAACATGTATTTTAACAGCTCTAGAGGGCACAGTGTTAGGCAAGTCATCTGAGCCAATTGTGTGATCTGTAGCACTGTCATGAAACAGCAAACGTTGATCAATTACAGACATGAGGAGATCATCATCTAACAGTGCAGGGCTCTGCAGTTTTAAAAGCGACGTAGAAGAGGGATTTTGATAGGTTGCTGCTTTTCTCATCCTGCAGAACTATAGCTTAAGTTGCCTTAGCAGAAGTTCCTCTTGAGAGCACTGTTAGAAGATGATGATCTCTGTTGCAGCTGGTCACCAACATGACCATAGGGTGCAGGCCGATGGCCCCTTCTGTGTATTGGGAAACACTGTCATGGTATTTATGCAAAACCTTTTTACCGTTTTGGGGTATATACTAGTAATAAAGCACAGTTTCCACTGTTTTGAAAATGTGATCTAGTGTCACACACAAATGCAAGTGCTGAAGAAGTAGTATGAGTCGAAAAGGGGGTGGGAGCAGAGAAACAGCCTTTTAGATGAGTGGGGGGAGATTGTACTTCATCATAGAATAGTAGCATTGGAAGGGACCAGAGAGCCATCATATCCAACCCCCTGCTCAGTGCAGGACTCCAGGTTAAGTCATCCCTTAATTCATATTTGCTAGTGCAACAGTGCAGAGATCAAAAAATATGGAGGGGAGAGGGGGAGACTGCGCTACCACTGCCCTCTTTCCACCTCCCATGGGGTGAAAACAGCAGGACCAGCAGCTCTTGCTCCCTTCCACCTGAGAGCAATTCCCAAAAGCCAGTCAGCAGCCCTCCCATATTGACCTTCATGGGAGTGAACACCATCAAAGACAATTTGATTTACTTCTGGGTGGACACATTTATTGGGTTGTTTTCAGCTAGTCATCCCTCACCAGTATTTGAAACAATGGGAGAGGTTTCTGTTATTCACAGATTCACACCTATTTATGTGCTCATTAAAAATACTGTTTTTAAAAGTCTGATAATACATATGATCACTGCAGGGCCCCTCTCCCAGTCCACCACTCCACTAAAGCTGATACTCCTTCCTTCCCTAGATCAGTAATACATGTTTAACACACACTAAGTATATACTGCAGGAAAAAAAATGCAACATATTTAAAAAGCATGATATAACCAGTCTGAAGAAATGTGGAAAATAATGGCAGAAACAGCATGAGGACAATAGCCTGGGGTATCTGTCATGCAACAGGCCATCAGCAGTGAAAATCCCTTGTGCAGAGCGCCCTCATAATCAACACAGACTCGACTCGCAAGTAACACCCAATTCCTAGGTTAAACAACTTGGCTGTCCAGTCCCAGAAACTGTTTAAACCCTAAATAGCCCGAAGTTAACCCAATAAAAAACCACAGGCAATTGCTGGGTTAACTCTGTGGGTCATTCCCTAAACAACTCCGAGTTCTAGGTTCAAATACCTATGGACTATTTATGTAGTATGCCGCCTTTCTAACAAAAAATGGCACTCAGTGTGGCTTATAGAACCAACAGATTGAAATATTAAAATAAAATGTAACAATTACAGAAAAAATATTACTACAATCAGCAGGAAACTGACAAAACACACTAACAGTTTAAAGGTCTTCTTTAAAAAAAAGGGGGGGGATTTTTTAGCCTGCTGGTAGAAGGTCATCAAAGGGGGAGCAAACCAAGCCTCCCTTGGGAGCAGACACTTAAAAGGCCCTCTCTCAGAACTCTGAAGGGGATAAACACGACTCTGAAGGCGTCAGTCTTGAAAGAAGCAGGTTCCCAGAAGCTCCTAGGAACTGGGAAGGTTGTCTGGGGTAGGCGGTCCTTCTAGAAAGGAAAGACTAGAGCAATGCATGCTTTCAATTGGTCTGGGGTTGCACATTCTTTTTCCTAAGCGGGGTATGTGATTTCTGGGCAAAAGGCACAAGCTTCCGGGGTTGGCTACAGCCAAAATGCTGGGTGAGGAAGGCTAAGTCATTCTTACATGGATGATATTTGTGTTGTGTTTAAAATTAAACATAAAATGCTGGTCTTGTCTGGCAGCTGAGTTATGGACTTCCCCCAAAAAAGCACCTCTCTGATGAATCATAGGCTGGTGGGACTTTTAACTGTGCAGGGGCAAACTTGAAACATGCTAGAAATTTGCCCAAAGTTCCACCCCATTGAGCATGTGGGCTGAGAAATGTGAACAAAATAGAAAGTCCCTCCTGTTGGGAGGGGGATTGTGAAAGAGAAAATATTGTCACTTTTTTTCCTGACATTCTTTCCATTGACCAGTCCCTTAGATGGTATTTGGCTCAGGGAAAGGCAGTACCCAGATGGGGGACAGGCATGGCTGGTAGACTCTTATAGCCCTGTATATGCATGCAAACTCAGGCTTAATTTTCACTGGTTTACCACCCAATAAGCAACTTTCATAGACCCTGATCAATGGGCATGCTGGCTGGGGCTTATGCGCACTGTAATTCAAAGTATTTTGGAGGATGCCAGGCTGCCTATACCTGGGCTGGAGTGCCGAACATCCTGCAGAAGAGCATAAAAAGCACCCTGTTGGACCATTCCAAAGGTTTATATCGGCCAGCATCCTTTTTCCACAGTGGCCAACCTGCTGGTTTTAACCTTCAAAGCTCTAAGCCTGATTGTCTGAATGGGGTGGCTTATCTTGGTATGAACCTGCCCAGTTATTAAGATAAGCAGGAGAGGCCCTTTGAAGACGTGCTCACTTGTAGAGGCCCATTTGTCAAGCATGTGGGAAAGGACTCTCTTCCACACTCAGAAGTACTTCTGGAAGTTTGTATTAACTATTAATAGTAACTGTTAAGCAGTCTGAGCTGTATTGTCCTTCTTTATAAACTGAACATGCACCTGTGAACCATGGTCACTCTTGTCAAAAGAACACCAAGTGAGTGACAGAGCAAATGAGGCCAAGTGCAGGTAAGGAACACCGGGACAGAAGATCAGAAAAGGCCATGCAGTTGGCCAAGAAGAGTTAGGACCTGGACAGAAGTCAGAGCAGGAATTCTGCACTGTGGTGGTCAGTTGTATTCAGTGTCTACTTAGCAATTATTTCCTATTCTTAGATGCAACAGATGCATCTAGACATACAAATTAGCATGCTATAGAGCTCAGTGTCTTCCTTTGTTGCAATCCATTTCCTCCTTATTTTATTTTATTTTATTTTATTTTATTTTATTTTATTTTATTTTGCCTAGACTCTAACCCTCCACCAAAACAGAAGAGGGACGCCTCTCCCAATCAGGAGAACAACCAGGCCTGCCTTTGTGCCTGTGCTTGCATTGCTGCTTTCCAGAAGGGCTGCGGAGGCCTTGGGGCTGGCAGGGAGCAGTAATTGAAAGGAGCAGATGAAGCAGGAATGCCGCACGGAGCTGCCAGCTCAGGGAGCCGGACGATCATCAATATCATTGTAGGAGAGCAAGTGAAAATAAATCCAATGGGGCTGTTGTTTGAGAGGCGGCTGGGTTTCTCTGGAGCACATGCCAGCTCTTCCATCCACTCCCCCCACCCCGCCCGTTCAGCCACAGCACTGCCCCAAACAGCAGCCTAATCCCCACAGGGAGAGTACATGAAATCAGATGGACAAGTTTTGATGTGAAGCAGCAGCTTAGGGGCAAGCTCAGGTTTCCTGGAGGTTGGCTATATTTATCTCTGTGATTTAATGCCCGCACGGGGTTTAAATGCCACCAAGCAGTTGGTGTGAGGGGCCGGAGTTTCACTCCCCAACACAGGCTCTGCCTTGCCAGACATTAGCGATGGAACTCCTAGAGACCAACCCGTACTTCTTCACAGACCAACGCTTTTATGACGGAGAAAACTACTTGAGCCCCCGCTTGCACAGCTATGAGCCGGCAGCCTACCAAGACCGGGCGAGCATGAGCCTATGCCCTGAGGGCCGGGCTGGGATAGAGGACAAGGCCTCAGCCCTGCCAGACCACAGTCCGGGCCAGTGCCTGCCCTGGGCATGCAAAGTATGCAAGGGGAAGAGCGTCTCCATCGACCGGCGTCGTGCCGCCACCCTGAGGGAGAAGCGCCGGCTGAAGAAGGTGAACGAGGCCTTTGAAGCTCTGAAGCGGAGCACTTTACTGAACCCGAACCAGCGGCTCCCCAAGGTGGAGATCCTGCGCAGCGCCATCCAATACATCGAACGCTTACAAGCCCTGCTCAGTACCCTCAATCAGCAGGAGCGGGACCAGCGGGAACTGCGCTATTGTAGCAGCACCAGCACCCAGCCAGTGGTAAGTGCCGGGGAAGGGGTCGAAAATTGCCGCACCGCCACATTGCAGGCACATCCAAGAAGCAAAGGAGCCCAGGGCTGCCGCATGGGCCCCCGCTTCTAAATGACTGGTTTGGCCTGTGGGCATCTCTCAGTGCTCACACAGATCCAGTCGTCAACGAGAGCCTTGTTGGCACCTAGAGGAATCCAGTGCACTGTGTTTCTCCAGATGTTCTGACCAGTTATGCTGCTCAAGGCATCCTGAGCACTGTTTCAGGTAAGTCAGTGAGAGCTGGAGGATTATTTCCTTGCCACATAAAGAGAGGATCAAGTATGTTAGCATGAATTTGCTATATGTGTTATTGTGTAGCACACTTCGCCCAACCTGGCAACTTCCGGTTGTGATGGCCTGTGTGTCCCATCATCCCCTGTCATGGGAATTTATGGGAGTTGCTGTCCAACACATCTGGAGTTGACCAGGTTTGGGGAAAGGCTGTCTTCTGGCCATCATTCTCCTAAAATATGCCATTAGTTACCCACTCTAAGTTGCATTTTTGTGCTGCTTTTTTCATAAAGGTAGTTGCAACCATGCAGGTACTTCTCTGGGAAAGCCATGAACCACATAAGCACAACTTGCCTCTGGAAAGGGCTGAAGTAGAACTGTGGTTATCAAAGCCTGGCTGATTCAGTGCACTGCACAATGAAGAATTGTGAAAGAGATGTTTTAGGTATATGGGATGCAAAGTTCATCAGTTACAAAGAGGTTTCACAAGGTGGGCATAAAGCAGAATAAGTGGCACATCTGTTACAGCTGAAGTGACCAGTGCACAGAATATTATTTAACAGATGGCATGCAGAAGCAAATTCTAGCACATGTGCCAATGAGAAAGGATGGGTGGGGGGAGCTTGAGAAGTGGACACCTGTTGAGTTCAAATGAGTAACTGGATGTCTCCATTTAAAGATGCACAAGGGCATTTGGGTACAGACCTGGCTCCTGAATCCTAAAGCACAGAACATTGAATTAAACAAATATGTGAAAAGCCTTCTGGGCACTTCCTAGGCAGTCCTTCAGCAGCAGAGGGACTTGTCCAGTAGCCCCAGAGCTCCGCCTTTCAGAGTATCTCTTCTCCAATACAATGAACTGGCTGAATGTTTTGTGGTCTTCCTAGCATTAATAAACCAGTAAAGGAAGGAAGGAAGACAAGCAGAAAATAAAATCTGAAAATGAAACTGTTATTGGATTGTTCTTGCAGCCTTTTGCAAACCAGACAATAAACATCAGAGCTGGTACCAGCTTATTCTTCTCTTCTGTTGATAGTTGATTCATTGCAATAACATGAGTCTTGGCATTTGTATGATTTTTGTTCTATTGAAATCGAGGTTTACAAGTGGAATTTTGCTATGTTTGATAGCTTTAAACACTACATGGAGATCTTCCACTTTTACAAGAGATTCCCCATTTCTGTATTGCACATGGTCTGTTTTTATCACAAGGGTCTTAGTTAGTTGCATGAAGACTAGAGCTGCCCCTCTATGTACCAGCACAGGACAGACACATTATATTCCATACTAGGGAAATTATGCACATCATAATATATCCTTTCTTATTTCAGACCAGCCTAGAGAATAGGGTGGCAGACATATCAGGGGCACCAATGGACTTTTGTTTTATGATGATGGATACAACTGCCCCACCCATACCTCTCCCATTGTGTAGACTTGCTCTTTGGAGCAGGTGAAGCACAGCCTGTGTGCTCCAAGCAAGGGAATTCCTTAAAAATTATCAAGAGAGGAAACCTATATGGCATTGACGTATGCTAATTTATACATATAGATGCAAATATAGAAATAACTATTATAATTTCAAGAGAAATATAGGGCATCTCACTGTAGTTTGGAAGAATGTGACCAAGTGACCTGAGTGCCTACCTGTTGCAGCCTGCCCTTCAGATGCTAAACAGGCTCCGGTTCTTATGGTTCCTTGTTCTTAAACTAGAACCGGACCAAACAGTCCTTCAAATACAGGACTGTCCTCTGTCAATGGGGAGAAGTGGCCACCCTCCTCAGGGCTGAAGCACTCATCCCACATTCGTAGTTGCTTTTAACTTCAAAGAGCAGCACGGTTGGCCCTCCTCTTCACAACTACCTAACCATTTGAGAAGTATTTACTTCTTGCAGGCTGTGTGCTCTGTAAAGCCCCTTGACATAAAGCCAGCTTTGGAATGCTCATCCAGCCGGGTATTAAAAAGAGAGATGGAGAGAGTTATGAACAGCTGCAAGCTGTAGACTCGTTCTTGTTCTCCCTGTCATTCACTCATTCACACACACACTATGGCTGGGCAGTATGCACACATCCCCTGCTGCGGAGTCAGGGTAGGCGCCTGCGCTTCCTACTTGCGGGACTTCTGTCCTAACATACTATTTAGAGCACGTTTTCCCAATTGACAAGAACAATGCAGCTCACAGCTAGAAAAGAAAGCCTCACTTATCTCACTTGTTGTGGACCCCTTTAGATTCAGTATAGTAACTACTGCTGAGATGGCTAACCAAGCAAAGCCAAACGTTACAATAGACAGGTTTGGGTGCCACACACACACACACACCACCCTGTGCAGAGTATCCGCCTCGTTTCATTCAGCTCATGTCACTACAAGCCCAAGGCCATCTGAATCAACCTATAGTTCCTACGTATCTTGTACTTCTAACTTATCAGTGGTATGGGCAGCCAAGGCTCACAAAAATGCAGCACCAACCCCTTTTTTATTAACTGGGATTTGACATCATTTGCCACCCCATGAGACTTCCCTGCTCCTTCTGAGCTTAGCAGCAATCTTCGCAACAGCTGGGGGGAAATAAATCTTCCCAGCAGTGATACATTGCTCCCTGCAGTACTGCAAAATATTTTGGGGTGGCTTCATCTACAATGGTCAATTAAGACACATCAGCTTCACCAGAATCCACTTATGGTGGAGATGAACACTCCTAGAAGGTGCTTGTTGATATGGGTCAAAACAGTAAGCTGCAGTTTTGGACTTTCCTTGCCATGAATGGCTGTGGGGACCATCTCAGTCAACCCCTGCACATCAAATTTTACTGCTATTCCTCTGCTCCTTATGTACTGTTGAACCACAGTCACCTCCCTACAGCCTTGCTGGCCAATGCAATGCTTCTTCCAATTCTTATCTCACCCTCACCCTATGCAGGAAGCAACCATGCTAAGTACTCAAGCATCCAGTGCCCACCATCCACCTTATCCCAGATTATGCTGGGATCAGATCATCGTATCTCTTGAAGGCCAAACTGTATTATGATGAAGTATATATTCTGCTTCAACTGCTCCAACATCACCACCCGCTAAGAACACAAGCAGATGGGTGCCAACTTGCTATCGGATCTCCCCACCCATTCCAAATCCCAGTCGATGTTCCTTACATCAACTTGAAGGCTTCACTGCCTTCAAATGGTTGTCTTATCCGTATTTTCATTAAGGGTTCTCTGAAATATCTGAACAAGTAAGATTACATTCTTTATGAACATTATAATTTACAGGAGGGGAGATATTAGAAAAAAGAACTAGCTTAAGCCAGTGAAGCAGGGAATGTGTCAGGGTACAGTCGTGGTGTAGAGACTGGAAATAAGTCATTCTAATGGCCAGTACTTTCTGATTCCAGGTGGCTAGTGACCATGGAGCGAGCAGCACTTCATGCAGCCCAGAATGGAGCACCCAGCTGGAGTTCAGCACCCATCCTGGAGGTAAGCAAAAAGCAACACAACACATAGAGTCCTCACTGGAAACCCAAATAGTCAATGGCTCTTTGGAGGTCAAGCTCCACCCCATCACCAAGCCAACATTCTCACTCCCAATAACTTTCTAATCTCTTCTGCCCACCTCCATCTTGCAAGCACATGTATGTTCCTGCTGCTTGCTTCTATGCATCTATAGGAGAAATGCCACATGCAGTGGTGAAGCTTCTGGATTTCATAAGAAAAGCCATACTGGACAGACCAGGGGTCTAGCTCATCCAACATCCTGTTCACACAGTGGCCAACCAGATGCCTATAGAAAAACAGGACATTAGTGTGTGAAAGCACTCTCCCCTGCATGTTCCCCAGCAGCTAGAGCACAAGGCATACTACCTTTGATACTGGAGGTGATGTATACCTGTCATGATTAATGGTCATGGAGGCTCCAGCTAACTGGGAAGCAACTGCAAACCTGGTGAAAATAGACCTGGACTCCAAAGGGTTATTTCCAGCCACTGGACAGAGATTGTAGCCCATTTTCCAAGAGTGACTTTGAAATCTTCCTGAATATTAGAACTTTGCAAAAGGTTCCCTAGAACATAACTCAACATGCAAAACCTACTCAGAAGTAAACCCACTATATCACACCCTTTCTTCCAAAGAGCCCAATGTAAGTTATATGATCACACTCTTCTCGTTTTCTCCGCATGATAAACTTCTAGGGCAGGTTCAGCAGCAATTAGGGAGACTAAGGCAGAAGTTTCTATCTACCTGCTACCCCGACAGTGCAGATTTTTGGAAACCCTCTTTCTTATTTACTATTACTAAAATATCCTACGTTTTCCATTCCAAAGTTTCCTTGAGGCTGCCTCCCTTCTACAAAAAGAAAAACAAAAAATAATGGATACTAAAACTGTAACAAGGCTATACAAAAGTATTAACACAACTGAGCAGTGCGCTGCTCCATACATGCAAGCCACTGATATTTTTATTAATTATTGTTCATTCGAGTGGGTTGTAAAAGAAGACCTGTGCTTAAGGGCAGAGGATTTTCTGCACATATTAAATGTTAACATTGGAAGGGAATTTTAATTGAAAGGATTGAAAAAGGATTGAAATCCTTCCTTTAATTGAAGGACTGAAAAATCTCTTTTTTGCAATATAAAACAATTGATAATAGTCAGCATTCATAAGCATACATGTTTAGATTTTTAACAGTTTTCATATCAACCAATAGGTCCAAACCAGTGCTTCAGTTAGTCCCTCTACTATGGAGGCACAATAAAATCATAGCAAAATCAATTTAAAAAAACCAGTAGTTCATGCCAAAAGATAGTTTTTTCAAGCAGCAGAACACCAACAAGGAGGGGACCATCTGTTCCTCTCTAGGTAAGGCATTTTGAAGCCTTAACAGGCATACTCGTAACAGAGGAAATCTCCCCTACCTACTTCTGTTAGCAATGGGATGAGGATGAGCAGGGCTTCTTCCCACAGGATCAGAATAGATCGGCAGGCTTGCACAGGAACAGGTAGCCTATAAGAACAATTTTTGTGTACCCTACCTTGATAATAAGCAGCATCTGTATACACGGTAGTTCAGATTTTCAACCGGTCTCAGTGTCACCAATGGATCTAATCAAGTACTTCAAATATCCTACTACTGCAAATGGAGACAAGGCATTTGCTACTCAATACTGGAAAAAATCAGAATGATTGAGAGCAGAATCTCTTAATGTAAAAACAATGGGTACTGGCTGCAAGGGATGGCTGGAGCTAGAGAATGAGGTGGGGCTCTTTTAGCAGTCCCATGCCTATTTGGATGGAACAAACAACTGGCTGGAGAATATTGCAGGCTGCAGGCCTTTTTTCTGTCTTAATATCCATGGGATTGTGAGCTAAATATAATTCATATTTCAGTATGGATGGGAGACAACTTTCAGTCAGAGAAGCACTAAGCCAGATTCCAGTCCCAAGTGGTGTATGACTTCTTGTACAGCAAGAAAAAACCCTCCTTAATATATTTCCTTTGTTCTCCATAGATCATTTGCTGAGTGACGACTCTTCTGAAGACCGCAATCTTCACTCTCTGTCTTCAATTGTGGACAGTATTGCTGTGGAGGATGTGGCTGCTGCGTTCCAGGAGGAGAGGGCTCAGAACTGAGGATGCAGAAAACAAATGCTCATCCCTCCATCTTTTTTAAAGTCATCACCATCAGATTGTAGAGTAGAAGCCACAAAACACTAGAACTGTACAATTAGGAGACATTTCTCACTAACACTGGATGATGTTCCAAATGGAGAAAGGTTCTCTTTCCAACTAATAGTGGACAAGGTTCTGTTTCCCAAGCCAGCCATAAACTTTAACAAGTGAAGTCACTTACCCAATTCCATGTACCTGAAAGGTGGTTCTGCGTGCCCCACCCCACCCTCTATATCATAACCGGCTAAGCAGAAAGATTCCTATTATTTAAACATCTGCCTGATTTCCAGAAAGGTAGAGCGTTGTCAGTTTATTGATGATTTTGGATCTAATCTCCTCTGGAAATTGGCTGTTCAAAGCATTCTGAGGCATTATTGGGAACACTAATGAAGGGTGAGAGAAGCGACACAACAAATGAGTGCTAAGCAAGGATTCCAGTGTGGCTTTCTGTTTTCTTCCCTGTTTTAGGAGGTTTGTTTCTTTTGGGGGCCAATGGTATTATTTTTAATATTTGTGGATGTGTGCAAGTGTGTGTACTTTTTTAAAAGATGCTATCTGACCAACTTCTTTTGGTAGTTTGCAATTTCCAGGCACAGAAGCCATGTAAAAGGCTGCCACTGAAGTCTTTTCTACTGTGTGGAGTTGACATTTTTGTATTTTTGCTAACTTATTGTGAGATTTTTAAAATAAACTAAAATAAAGGCATTCTTTTGTTTGAATTTATTTTGCGATGAAGAGAGGATTGATTTCTCTTTGAAAGGGTTAAACCAGAACCATTCTAGTAGTTTTAATATTCAAAAAAATGGCTTAAGGTGTCAGAAGTCTCTTGTGTATATTACTTGGGGGATCCATAAAATCAGCATAGTGTGTGGCATGTGAAATCTGATAAATCAGCACATCTGAGTGCCAAAACTTTCTGTAAAGACATACCCTTGCAGCGTAAGACAGGAGGTCTGATGCAAGTATTTTCATGTGTGGGACATATTTACTCCAGGACTGTTTACAGAATAAGGTTTGCTAATTGACAACGTTCAGAAGTAACAGGGGCCACCTAGAGCAAAGTACAGGGCAAAGTATCAAGTCATTACACAGCTAAGAGAACCTGGCAGGGCAGATGATGTGTGGATGAAAGCCTTATGCTTCATTCAGACGGGGATGATACAGCCACTTGGCTTCTACCTGGCCTTCCCTGCCAGTCAAGAAGCAGTTAAATGGGACTGCAAGCTGTGCTGGATTTGACAAAAGGCCTACATAGCACAGCTTTCTTTCTCGGGGTGCCTAGCCAGATGTCTATGGAAATGACTAGCCAAATAGCCACCATCTGCAGGCAAAATGTAGATCACATGCCCCAAGTCACCCCTGGTGTTCTATTCAAAGATGCTTCCAAAGTATGACCATGTGGGTCAAAGCTAGTTGTGGTTGAGCAGATCAATGAAGAGAATTATGAATCAATCAGCCTTGCTTTAAAATCTGGTTTATTGGAACACACATACACCCATTCCTGACCTGCTTGCAGGGTTTGGAATCCATGCAGTACCAATATAACAAAAGAAGGAGGTTATTGATATAAAGGGATCACTCTTTAAATTAAAAAAATATTTAATACTGTATTAGGCAAGTCGTACACCAAAAAGACATTGCAACTGTACAGTCTCTTGGATATTGCACTTTCAAACAGCACGGTATGAGTATAGGGCATTCCAGCCACCAAGAAATACCACGTCAGTAATAGGGGGCCACACAAGGCAAAAGGCAGCATGAGGAGACAAACAGATCCTACCCTAGAGGGGGAGAAACAGTAACAGCTAGGAATCTTTTGGATCACAGTCTACCTGTAAATGCAAAGAGGAGAAAGGGGGATTTTATGTTTGTCTACAAGGGAAAGATAGGCAATTACTGTGTACCCAACAGAGATGTACGAGGATATCACTTGTACTCCCAACATCCTATTTCATTTCAGTTCATACATGGACCTGGGACCTGGAAGACATTTCAACTTGTTTAGTAGCTAATCTTCCTCCTCTTCCATCAAGCCCTAACTCATCCTCTTTACAACCTGGGCCCTTTCTGATCTAAGGGCCAATGCTATTCTTGAGTGGAAGCTCCTCATTACCTGTGGCACGGTGGGAAACCCCAGCAGAAACCTGGTATGCCTAGGGAGAGCTTTCCCATATTCTCATTGCCTCATCTCCTTGGCGATTGTCTCTGATCTGTACAGTGAGAACGAGCAGCCACTGCTGCTCTCAGGCATATTGGTAAAAGAAGCACAGGCAGATCATGGTGCAGAGACTGCTGCGGAGCAGCATTAAGGTGCCTTCTACATCTTGCCAGACCTATGTCAAGATCGCTGCATCACACACAGGACAGACTTGGTGACAGAGAAGCCTGGTCTCTTTCTCATTCTCTCTTTCTCTCTCTCTCACTCTCTCTCTCTGTGCGAGAGTGTGTCTAAAGCCAAAGGAAGGGGGAGGATTAGATGAGAAGCCACAGATATAATCGGGGTTTAAGGACACCAAACAGGAGACCAGGGGAGTAGTGTACAAGCAGGAGGAAGAATGTCCTTTTGGCCAAGTAGCCTGAAATGGTTGGCCTGTGGTAGCGTCTGTTCTTTGGAGCCAAGGAGCAAGCATAGTCCAGATTCTGGCCTACTCCCGGAAAGCAGCCAGTGTATAGCCATATAAGTAATGGGAATGTGCTGTGAAAACAAACAAAAGAACAAACAAACAACAGGTAGAGAGGCTGCATTAAACATCAGGGGATACTGCATTGTAGCAAATCTGCTCTGCACCTGTCTGTTCATTCTCATCTGTCAATCTAACTTTACTACAGCAGCTGGGATTGTCCAGGCACGAGCCGGCAAACATGACAGATATGCTGTTACAGTACTGTCTGAATCCCTGACTAGGCAGAACAGGCAGAAGGGAATATATATGGCAACCATGATAGGCAGGAGAAGATCTGTAGCATTTCAGATGAGTATTAGGGAAGGACTGAGTCAGCTTTTCATTCCTTCCACAGCTCTGTTGAGCAGGGTCAGCTCCAAGGAGGGGCAAGGCTGGGCATCAGCAGGTCCCCAGCACCAGTGAAGGGCTCACTGCTGCAACAAGCTGTCACTCTCACTTCAGACGGAGTCAGAGAAAGCATGAGCAAATCCTCCGTTTGCACACACAGTCCACCCAGATCTGGTAGCTGAGAAGATCTTGCTAAGGTTGTCTTGCTTCAAAGCCCCTATGCTGCTAGAGTTAGTGCACTGCAAGTCCCCAGCCTTTAACACAATTTTCAGAGTTCACACTGATCATTGGCCCAACAGGCCGGACACAAATGCAGCAATGGCTGCTTCACAGTTCTGATTCCAGAACACCCAGTAAACAAGGCCGAGTCTGTTCTTGTCTCTGGAAGCTTCAGTGCTGATGTTGCCGTGGGGAGGAAGGAATAAAGTCTACTATCTTTATCCAACAGCTGTTAGCTGCATTTCCATAGATGCCTCCCCAGCGCCTATTCAGCACATTCCTACTTCCTCCTCCTCTTTGTTACTGTGACCCATTGAGATTTCAACACTTGCTTCTCTTGGCTAATGCACTCACAGCACATAACCAGGGCAGCTTCTATACTATTGTGCAGGGAAGAGATTCTGTAATAATCTGGAAAAGGAGTAAGTACCCAAGTGGTTTGCTTGTAGCAATTGCTGTCAATAAACGGGCCCCTGTGTTCAACCTATCTTGGAGGAAAGGCTTGTTTTGTTTTGTTGTGTGCGTTTAATGAAACTTCTTTTGAAAGAACGGTTTGATAATCAACAGAGGGTGCCTGGCAGAAGTATTGACCCCTTTGACTTTTCCACATTTTTGTGCTACAACCTGGAATTGAAATGATCTTGTTTTTGTTCACTTAACTTTTGCATCTCAGTAAAAATATTTTGAACCTTCACAGTGTACAGCAAGTGGTTATTAATCTTCCCTTCCTCCAACTCAGAATGGCAATTTAGCTTCACAGTAAACCTGAAAGATGGAATAGCCTGAATGTTGAGGGAGAGTGGCCATGAACTTATTCTGAGAGCTTCACAGCTGAGCAGGAATCCGAAGGCAGCCTGCTTATGGTTCTTCACTGGCTCAAATTCATTTAATGTAATTCTCCAACATACTATTACCCTTTTACACAGAACGAAAAAAAAATGGAATTGGAACTGGGGCAGAGGGTGCAGCTTGTTTGCGTGCTCACTGTCACTTCCCTACTCTATTATTAATTGTGGGACATTCAGATTTCTAGAAGAAAATGTACCCATACATTATTTGTTCGGCTTGTGAGAGAAAAGGACTCCTGAAAGCAAGACTGGATGAGGAATCATATGTTGGAAGTCACTGCTGCGCTAACATCTGTTCCTCTACAGCAGTGGTATAATAGTAAAATTTGAAGCACAGGAGCGCAGAATGGCAGCCACCCTTGCCTTGCCCAGGGAGAGTGCAAAACTGCAGGCAGCTGTCATTATCTATAATTATCTCTCATCCCCAGAGGACAGCAGTGCAGGATATGACGCCCAATTTGTTAAGCTCAGCCACGGCAGCAAAGGGTGGAGTAGTGGTCAGCATGTTGGACGTTGGCTTGGAGACACGCATGCATGTCTCTGACCATCCATGAAGTTCAGTGGGTGACCTTGGTCCAGTCCTTGTCTGAGTTTAGCCTACCTCATGGGGATAAAGTGGGGGCAGCCCAAGCTCACGCATACCATCTTGGCCTCCATAAAGGAAGGGCGGGATGCAAATGCGAACAACATTAAGGCACATGTAGTGCACAGCCTTCCATTTCAGATGCCGGGGAGGCTTGTTCTCTTTTTCTAATATACCCTGCATGTAAAGAACACCCACCTTTGTTTCTTTTAAAATAACCAGGGAAGGCTCTTGTCAGATAAATAAATGACTGCAGCACAGGACTGATGGAGCAGAGTTTGGACTGAAGGTGGAAGAGCA